TGTGAAAGGAGAAGGCGTTGCACAGTATTCTGGAAGCACTGCCATACAATATCAACCATATATTAGACATTCTGGAATGTTTGTTTGTTCAGTTTTCAAAAGTTTAATCGAGAACTGTGTCAACATATTTTTCAAGCATAGTCTGAAATGGAAGTCGCCAGGTTGAAACGAGTGCCGTAAAGCTCGAGAAAGCTGCTTTCTCATTGGCTGATGTCAACTTCTTGTTAGTCCCTTCAGTGGTCGGTCAGAGTTCGCAAAAGATCGTTCTGATGTGACCCGTAATAGGATGTCCTCAGATCTTTGTTTAGCAGCAGCGAGAACTTAGATCTGATTTTAATGTGATTGGCATAAGATAACATTGGAATGATGATTGGAGTTTGTGGAAACAAATACATTTAAGCCTAATTCCAGTAAGCAGATGATAGAACATATTGTGTAAAAAGTCCATCCATCATGTCCATCTACTTGTCAGAAGCAGCTTGTTAGTTGTTTGTTGTTGTTTCTCTCAGTAATTAGGTCAGAGGCCTATTTACATTGTAGACATGAACATGGCATATTTCAGAGGCAGTACAAATGGCTACATGTAAGGCGTGCATGTGAGAAGCCAATAACATGTTAGACTGCAGGTTATTTGTAATGGAAGCATGCACCTAAAGTTGGTGCTAGTGGTACTATTCAACTGAAAAATGTCTATATTCTGTACTAAGGCTGACATCTTTTTGGGGGCTAAGAATCACCATCCATGAACAGTGTAATTTGATTGGTCGGGATATCGCTTCCTCTGCCTCTATCTTCACATTTGATTGGCTGCTTACCGGTATTTTAAGCTGTAATCCACCGTTACTATCAAATGGTTATGGCACATCCAGGATGAATTATGGAGGATAGTGTATGTTGCAAGCCATTTTGCTTTGTGTCTGTCAGATTTTGTGACTTTTACATATGCTCAGTATTATCCCAGGTAATTCTTTCAGTTCAATGTGATACATGATGCTGCATGATTTCCACCCCAACAAAGCCAGGAGGGGGTTCTGTATTTGCAGATGCTATGTTCTGTTACTGTACGCACTGTGCTCTGTTACTGTACAAACTGTTTGTTACTGTTCAAGCTGTGCTCTGCTACTGTAGAAGCTGTTGTTACTGCACGAACTGTCTTCTGTTACTGTACAAACTGTGTTCCGTTACTGTACGAACTGTGTTTCGTTACTGTACGAACTGTGTTGCGTGACTGTTCAAGCTGTGTTCTGTTACTGTAGAAGCTGTTGTTACTGCATGAACTGTCTTCTGTTACTGTACAAACTGTCTTCTGTTACTGTACAAACTGTGTTCCGTCACTGTACAAATTGTGTTCCGTTACTGTTCAAGCTGTGTTGTTACTGTAGAAGCTGTTGTTACTGCACGAACTGTGTTCCGTTACTGTACAAACTGTGTTCCGTTACTGTACGAGCTGGTTTCTGTTACTGTGTGAACTGTGTTCTGTTTTTGCAGGAACTGGGTTCTGTTACCATAAAAACTGTTCTGTTACTGTACGAGCTGTGTTTTTCGACTGTACAGGCTGTTCTGTTACTGTACGAGCTGGTTTCTGTTACTGCATGAACTGTGTTCTGTACTGTACGTACTGAGTTCTGTTACTGTTTGTGTGGTGTTCTGCTAGTGATGAAGTGTGTTCTGTTATTGTATGAGTAGAAAAGGAAGTGTTTTTTCTGCTTCCTATAGAATGGAATAGTCATGTATGTTAGACATAGTTTTCATATTTGAACATTCCTTTTTGAACTGATTACACATGTATATCATACACTCAGTGCTTTTACAACATGTCATATGATCTGATACACATTCTTATATTTTCTCACATTCTAGGAGTTTTGTCAAATTCCTATATGTATATGTATGTTATACACAATCTTGCCCTTCGGCTTCATGGTACAGGGGCACATTACAACAAGATGAATTAATTGTTATGTCTGTCTGCCTTTCTTTTTACTGCCTCTTGTCATGCTTGATTTTCTGAAGGTAGATCAACAGATCTCGGTTATTTTCACGATGGCTTGTCCCGAAATGACTGTCTATTTCACAAGTATTTTTTATGTATGACTACCTACAACTGATGCTAGATGCATCATGGGTTATATTGCAAGTGTATTTTTAATTTTGGTAATAAATAATTGTCTTTATTACTCAAAAACCGTAACACAAACGGTTCTTGAGAGAAATTAGGCTGCAATGAAGTCTTCCAAAAGGGGGCATGGGTGTCTCAGTGGTCCTAGCACCACATTTCAATTCACAGAGTTACCTCCCTTAGCTGTAACTGGATACACTGATCACGGATTTGAATACAACTTGAAGGCGTTTTGCTTTACTTCCCACTTGCACTGAGGTGATGGTATGATATTCTTGTAGAACTGCCAGAGCATGAGATGTTGTTATAAAGGACCCCATTTGGCTCACTGGAAATGTCAAATTTCAAGGATACAGAAAACTTAGTTTTTTTCAAAATAATGAAACAAGCATTCCTATTTTTGTTACTTGTGGCTTTTGGGATTATGAAATGTTCAAAGTACAGAAATATGGCTAAATGGGATTGAAAGGATTTCAAATAAAAATCGAGGCATTAGTAAGTCTCAGATCAAGTTCTCAGTCATGTGAAAATCTCCCACATTTCTTAAAACCTTTCCATACTAAGAAATTTGTCAATGGGCCGAAACAGTTATCTTGTCCTACTTGAACACTTGTTTGCTTTGTGTACTGGAACAACAGTATAATTGAAATAGAAAATTTATTCCATTAGAATTGACATTTGTAATGACACCTGACAGCTATAATCTTCCTAACAGTTATTATTTTTTAGCTATAGGGGTGAGTCAGCATGCAAATATCAGGACAAAACCCTTTCCCTAATCATAGGAAATCTCTGCAAAACAAAGACTCCTTTGTACGATTCCAACTATATCACAAGCATGTGTCAATGAATCATTATGAAATAGTGATGACGCCAGGTGTTCACAAAAAGGTGAACGTCTCCTGTCCCACCGGTGGCACCCATCAAAAACACATGCAAAGGCAGGCCAACTGTTCACTTGAAAAAACACGGGAACAATATGGTACAAGTTAAAATCGGTTATTGCATCGGACATAATTTTGACCCCTGTGTGTCCAATTTGGAAATATCATCCAGTGTCTACCATAAAATCTGTTGAAAGCCAGACTAAGGCCTTGAATGCTTTAACAACTTGTGAGCAAGATTCATACTTGTGATACCAGTTTGGCATGGTGGGTTATGTACTTACACAGGGGTAACAAACTTTCTGTTATTCCACTACACAATGTTAAATGTTTAATGGCAATGTGAGTTATTACCAGTTTCACAGTGTCATTTATTGGCACAAGGTCATTATAAATAAATTATTTTCACGGAATTTAATTGTTGTGTCTTTTATGAGATTACATTAAAAACATGGACTGTTATTGTGTTCTGAAGTGACAAGATTGATTCTTGACAAGCAACTTCAAGTTCAGATGAACTATGTAGAGTTGCTTACCTTAGCTGTTCCTGGATCCATGGGTCGTGGGTTTGAATCCCATATTCAGCCAAGTTGTGATCTGTGGTTTGTTGGCACAACCTGTACAATATACTGCATTTGTCGTAATAGAGCCATGCTCCAGTAAGTTCTTCTCACCGTTCTCTCCACCAAGCTGTGAGGAATCTTTATGAGAACCCTTGTGTAAGAGTGAGATTTTCAAGACAGTCAGTAGTTTCTTGTGTATGTTACACATGTTATAGAAATCGAAGGACAGAACAGGTATATAATTGCGTGGTAAGCATGGTAAGTGAACCTGGTCCTGTGCACAATGAGACCACCTCCGTGGTCTTGTGGTAGAGCGTCTGCCCGGAGAGCGGAAGGTCCGGGGTTTGATCCCCGACCGCGTCATACCAAAAGACGTTAAAAGATGGTACTTGTTGTTACCCTGTCTGGCGCTCGGCATTAAGGGGATAAAACAAGGACTGGTCGGCTTGGAGTCAGTATACTGTGTCTGAGTGGGGTATTCATGTTAAACTGCAGCATGGTATCTCAGTGAGCTAGCACTATAAATCGGCATCAGTCCAGACTAGTACAAACAGCCACACACACACACGTGCATGCACATCGCTATATAAGTGCAATAATCTTGGACGCAACGTTAAACCCCATTTCACCTCACCTCACCTGTGCACAATGAGGTGCAGGTCACATATCAGGTGAAGTAAGACAATACAGTGTTTCCTGAGTTTCTGGGACTTTCGTTGTGCCCTACACTGGAGCACATGAAGCACATGTGGGGTCTCCTTAGACAAGTGAATTTGTTAAAAATATGCCTCTGATCATGCATGGGTGCATTCACGCATGTACGTGTGTGGGGTTTTGTTTCAATCATGTGACACAGCGCAAATTGACTGGACAGCTAGTTCTGGCACTGTGTCATTCAAACCAGACTCAAAAGGAGGCTATGGTGGCAGATGGGTCCATGATATTTATCACAACAGAATGGAGACATGATACACTGGGTAATCAATCAAGAAAGTCAGCTTATCACTAAGGTATAGCTGTGTTCAATGTAAACATGAGTTTGTTGTATGGTGAGGGGAGATGTAATGGCGTTTAGCGTCACATTCAAGATCATTTCATGTCGATAGAAACTGCATGCATTAGTGAGTGCCTGCTTGCATTAGTCCATATTTATGCTGTTTTTTATTGTGCTAGCTGATTGAGATACCATGCTGCAGTTCAACATAGATACTTTACTAAGACACCGCATACTGACTCTGAGCTGACCAATCCCTGTTTTATTTCCTTAATGCTGAGTGCCATGAAGGGTAACAACAAATTTCTTTTAACATCTTTGGTATGAAGCGGCCAAGGGATAGACGACCACTAAACTTCCCCTCTCCTTTTCTTGTTCTCTTTGCACGGATAAAATATATGTCACATCATAATCAAACAAAAGAAAACAAAACACAGGACGACAAATGAAATCTTTCTTTTGATGATAGGTACAATATTCATCACTGTCAAACATGAGAAAAAAATCAAAACTGTAAATGTTTTTTATGTACAAAAATTGACATATAAGTAGTTATAATAACTGTCATTCTGACATAAAAGATTCTGAAAATATACCCCACACATTATGCACCAGTAGACAACGGTGGACAGGGTAGGTACTACAGAAAGTACACTTTTGATCATACATGGTAACAACATCAATTTTCTTTTAACATGGTCGCATCAATGTTCAAGCTGGGGTTCTCTCATCAGTCAAAAGAAGATGAAGATACTATTTTAATAACAAAACTCTCCATGAAAATATTCAAATAGACATGTTTTCATAATATTTTTATAATCATTGCCATGATCAAACAACCATTAAACTGATCACTGGATGAGGAAACTTTAACCGAAAATTAATAAATAAGATCCACTTTTAAAAAAGAGATATGAGTAAAACATTTATTTTTATCAAAATATTCTGGTATGAATTTAAGAATCTTAGATAACAAATCCATTGTAAACATATATCAATATGGGTAAAAGTAACTTAGTACACCATGCAAATTAAATCTGATGATAAAGTACATGATAAAACATGATAAAACATCAACATACATCTCAACTGACATTGCTACACGACATAATTGAACGTGTATGGTCAGTGTGGTGATACAGGAAGCAAGTGAACGAGTAGTTCCAGATTTCATAGTTAGCATGCAGAGACATGTTTCGTTCTAATGCCTCCAGTTTGGGGGGATAAAGCGCTAAATAAGCACATTGCAAACAACATAATTCATACCCGAAAAAAGTCCATAATAAAACAGACACAGTTGAACACAAATGAGGGAGTGAAGAATATTCATGTACAATGATGCTTTTCTGTTGAGGAACACAAACTGGAGTATTCTTCATGTGGCAAAACAGGAAGAGGAAAGCAAGCATAACTTATCACTACTGTGAAACCTCCTTAATCCAGACCATCTGGACAAATACTTTTGTAAACGATAATATTGAATTAAATGGATATTACCATGTTCCGATGATTTGTTGTTCTAGAAATTAATTAGGATGACTTCATGGAGACTGTTACCGTCTGGATTAACAAAGCTTCACTTATTATCAATAAGCAACATCAGACCTTTTATTGTTGAATATTAGTGTTTACTATTTTGAGTACAAACTTCACTTCTCCTGTTTGACATGTCACCTGACATTCATTAAATCACAGGCAGGAAGTTCCAGATAAGACATGAGATGGATCAGGTCAACTGAGAGAGATTCAAATGGTTCTTTGAGTTATTGCACGAGTTGATCATTTAAATGTAAAAAAGCAGTGTGATTTATTAAATAAAGTTTGCTGTTATTGTTCCCAAAATGTGCACAAATGTTGATGAGCAGTGTTTTGCCTTCAATTATGAGATTATTTGACAATATTGCCATCAATACATCTCCCCAAGGCAAGGGAGTCAACTGACCATAAAAGTCCAGTTTCCATCCTTGCTGAACTAGGCTGGAATTAAAGAGTTATATTTTTGCTGGAGTAACGAGTGTATGCATAGTCAAATAAAAATCGCGGTGCAAAATCAACATCTGGTTCATAAACTGCTGTGCAGATTTCAGTCATTGGCCGGATTTGCAAAGCATGTGTAACGTCAACTCAGCTGCAACAGATATTTTCCAAATCTTTTCATGTTTTTAATCAAGGTGCTCACGTGATTTGATGCGCGCAAAGTAAGACCTGTTTTATTACAATTTAGATCTTGATTATTGATCAGATCGTCTCCACTGGGTGCTGCCATTTTGTTTGAAACAAATGCAAGTGATATGAGAGGTGGAATCTGATTGGTCAATAGGAGGGACATAGACCAAGTGAGACACATTTAGAAAAGAACCAAATTACATTGTTTACTGGGAGCTTTGTGACGTGATACTGGTAAATGCCATTGTTTCAGTATTTGCAATGAATGTCATGTGAGAAGAAGTCCAACATGTCCAGATATCAATGCTTCACAATTTCCTGCATTCTATGATTTACAGTTTATCACAACTTCAAAAGGACATGGAAATCAACATAGCCCCTAAACCTAACAGAACACACTTTCTCAGAGAATACACAATAAGACTAAACTGCCTCTTCAACAACAAACAATACACATTTAATGAGTATCATTTAAGTACAGATCGTATCTTGTAATAAAATACATAAATAAAACACATATGAAATTCAGAAGTTACATATTTTTTTGGTGTGAAATATCAACTTCAGACTTCCCTTGATGAAATACACATCATATTTCACGAAATTCATGACATGATATTCTAACATAACGTATAGATTTGATGTCAAATCAAATATGAGGAAAGTCATTTTTATGAGAAGATAATGTCCAACAGCAAAGACATTTAACTATCTACTGAAATATCATGCAAATAATATTGAAACTGATACTTGATATCTTGGATATCGACCCATTCAAGAAAAACATGATTACAAATAATCATAACTTATGAGAAAGTTGGAAAGAAGAAGTTTGTCAATAATGGTTAAAAAACCCATTTCAAGATGGCTGCCACAGGGGCCATATTAACAATAGAATAAGAAGACTGTCACAGGTAAATGTAGTTAAAATGAGAACCATATTCTGATTAAATCTTTAAACATGGTTCCAATGGCAGCCATCTTTAAACTGTACACTGTGTTCTGAAATAGCTCAGAATTTATATTAAAACAACATTTTCAAGATGGCTTCCACGACAGCCATGTCCAAAATCAACAATAAACTGGACACAGTATTCAGAGTTAATTTCAAATATGGCAGCAATAATGCCATCCATCCTAAAATGTTGTTCTGGTATATATACCCATTGTTATCAACACATCAATATGTGCTCTGATATGAAGTATGTAAGATATCAACAGCTTCTTATATAGACATTGTCATTACAATGTAATAGTTTACAACTGACAATTGGACAGCTGATGACAAACGTGTGATGGAATTTACAGACATGAACCATGGGTTCTGCCTGGCCCAAACAATGAACGTACCACATCGAACCTCATCAACAATGGTACTTAACATGACTGAACTTACAGTTGAATTATTTAAAAAAATTACAAAATCTACAACAGTCATTGCATAGATATTTCAAAGCCTTGTAACCATGGTAACACATTTCATGAAAGCGTTCCAACACATATTTTCACATTAATCACAGACCAAATGGTTAAAATGAAACTTAACATCACAGGTGAGACTTATTTGATAATGCAGTGTTCCAGATAAAACACTTCTCAATAAAAAAGGGTACATATCATTTACAAAGTTTAAAATTGTGTGCTCAGTATACTATTCAACACTTGACAGGGTTACTGACATATTTCATACTATCATCAATATCAGAGGACAACATATTGAATTTTATCACCCAAAATTGGCTTCCATATCTCACTGCAATGTAAATGCATCACAGGGCTTTGCAGGTTGTCGTGACATTGGTTACCATGACGTCACAATCAAATGGCAACACTAATCTCTCTGCCTCTGAAGCTGCTTAGCTCTACCTTTTACACACAAGACACTGCTTGTTACTGTTTACAAAATAAAAAAGTTGGAAGAATGATTTTAGGTTGTAAGAAGAATCTCACACTCATGTCTTTTGACATCAAATATCAACACAAGTCGATAAAAGTTTTAAAAATCCTGGACAGACCAGATTTTAATCTTTTATCGAATTGGGTTGACACAATTGACATCAAAAGATATAAGGGTGAGATCTATTTATAGTATGCTTATTTCAATTTGAAAATGTGTCAGTGTCTGATACTATTCCAATGAAAAAAACTCCAGACATTCAGTCCCTTTCAATCTCCAGATGGCTGCCCAGGATATCCGTACCAAAAGTTGAAAATTAATTGCCTTAAAAAAATTAAATAGCATAGAACATGAAAGTGTAACCCTTCAAGTTTTTGTTTGACATGGTGGGTTAATCACTGATTTGATATAAAACAACATTGTAATCCCTTGAATAAACATACATACGGATCTGTGGCTCAAAAGTTGTGTATCCCTTTCAAAAATTGAGTATTATATAACACAATACACAGCATTTAATGTTTCCATCAAACTGTTGTATACGGTGGGTTGTTGTACACGCTGGGTTAATGTACTGATTTGATTCTAAACAGTATTTTACTCAGAGATGTAACCATAAATGAGACCCTAGATGTGGGAAGTACAATTGTGTCGCGAATATCTCGAACATAACACTCTCCTGTCGTATCATGTATAGTTACAAGTGTTAGAAATATCAACATCTTTGTACCCTGGACAAACCTCTCCTTGATCATACAACACAAAGTCAGTTATGTACCAACTTTATGGTTACCTACAAAATGCGGAATCCAGTTGACATTTACCCAAAAACCACAGTGAAATCAGTTTGTTTTTCTCTACTAATTTTGTAAAAGAAGCTGGCTCTTTTTTTGGCTTCCACTGTAGGGCTTCCGTCTGGTTCTGAAATGAAATAGAGTATGTTTGTTATACGTCGCATTCTGATTAACTAACCAAGTATTTGGCGCTCAATCTCATTCATATCTAATCTTTAGTTCTATTTGATTCCTCTTTCCATTAAGATCTGACCTCCATAAGGACATGACCTGACCTCCACAAGGACATGACCTGACTTCCATAAGGAACTGACCTCCACACAGTCATGACCTCCATAAGGACCTAACCTAACCTCCTCAAGGATCCTACCTGACCTCCACAAGGACATGACCTGACTTCCATAAGGAACTGACCTCCATAAGGACCTGACCTAACCTCCTCAAGGATCCTGCCTGACCTCCACAAGGACATGACCTGACTTCCATAAGGAACTGACCTCCACACAGTCCTGACCTCTATAAGGACCTGACCTAACCTCCTCAAAGATCCTACCTGACCTCCACAAGGACATGACCTGACCTCAATGAGGACCTGACCTGACCTCCACAAGGATCTGACCTCAACACATACCTGACCTCCTTAAGTACCTGACCTGACTTCCACAAGGACTTGACCGGAATTCCACAAGGACATGACCTGACTTCCATAAGGAACTGACCTCCACACAGTCCTGACCTCCATAAGGACCTAACCTAACCTCCTCAAGGATCCTACCTGATCTCAACAAGGACATAACCCGACCTCAACGAGGACCTGACCTGACCTCCAACGAGGATCTGACCTCAACACATATCTGACCTCCTTAAGGACCTGACCTGACTTCCACAAGGACTTGACCGGAATTCCATAAGGACCTGACCTCTACAAGGACATGACCTTACCTCCATTAGGACCTGGACCCCGTTTCACAAAGCGATCTTAGTGCTAAGTTGGTCATAACTCCCATACTTTATCATAGGTTTACGATCAACGTAGCACTAAGATTGCCCTGTGGAACGGGGCCCTAACCTCCACAAGGATCTGACCTCCACACAGACCTGACCTCCATAAGGACCTGACTTCCACAAGGATCTGACCTGACCTCCATAAGGATCTGACCTTACCTTCATAAGGACCTGACTTCCACAAGGATCTGACCTGACCTCCATAAGGATCTGACCTTACCTCCATAAGGACCTGACCTCCACAAGGACATGACCCTACCTCTATAAGGACCTGACTTCCACAAGGATCTGACCTGACCTCCATAAGGAGGGAATGATAGGTGTACTTTCTCAAGTAAATTCACATTCCAGCGACATGACAGCAGCCTGCATGAGTCTGGACCAGACAAACCAGTGATTAACAATTCATTCACATTGCAGCAACATGACAGCGGCGTGTACAAGTCCAGACCAGACAAACCAGTGATTAGGTGTGTGTGTTATCCCATTTTCAGCAATTCAGATCAGCTGACATGAAATCACAATTCACTGTTATTTCACAATGCTGCAGATAAGACTTGTGACCTGGAACTACTTCCTCAAATGTGACCCTCCCTGTAACCTTGTGTCAGGGGCATCAGCTTGCAACATTTGAAACACATACCCACTGCATTTATATAGAAATCTATGCTAGAACGAATAACAAATGTTCCTTCTATCAACATCCTCTGAAACAGTTCGCAAAAGTCACAATGGATACCTAGTAGAGTGCCAGAGTGGTGTCTTGTACATTATAGTGTCAGGATATATGAACTTAATCACAAACCAAAGGTCACAAGATACTAGACTTATTTTTATAGAATAACATTGATCTTGTGAATACCATCAGATTCTCAGAACGGAAACTCAAAACAGGGTCAACTGTGACGTATCAAGCAAGGGGCATCACCGATATCATGATGTCATGATCCCTACAGGCCAGGCAACAAGCTTGTATGGGGTTTGAATGAAAAGGCAGCTGGCCAATCAGAGTGAGTGAGTGAGTTGGGTTTAACACCACTTTTAACAGTATTCCAGTTATATCGCGGTGTGTCAGCTTAATGTGGGAGGAAAGCCCGAAGTGATGCAGGTTTCGGATGTTTACCACTTTGATGAAACCCATTAGCATGGGGATGGTGCTGACAAACCTAGAAACATAATCGAGGCGAACCAGGATGGCCCAATGGCCAATCAGAAAGATTGATAGCGACTAATGATAATTGGTATTGGTAGGTATTCTTTAAGTACCTAGGTACCCAGTTTGTTGTTTGACACCCCCTCACCAATATTCCAACCATATGACCGTGCAAGTACCACACAACTCAATGATTGATACTGTGAACAACAATTCATGCCAACGGGGTACGTTGACACATCATAAACCAGTCACTGAGTCTGACCACCCAATCAATTTGGCCACCTCCTACGGCCAGCATTGGTTACTGGGGACCTATTTTAACCCAGCATCCCCATAGTGTTCATGCTAACGACCCACACAACTTTAGTATGAAGCAGTGGACAATTTTTCAGCAAAACTCTTTTTGCTGTATAGAAAACTAAAATACCATACCAGTGGCTCTGGAAAGAGTCTCCTACAGCTGCCCCGCCGGAGATGTTCCAGGTATGCCAGCTTCAGCTGCAGACGCCACTCCGTCGTCAGGCACTCGCTGCACAGCTTACACTCCTGAGACAACATACATCAGGAGTGCTAGGTCACATTTTTCAAATTTTGTTTTTCAACAATGTCATTGGTGTGTGAGTGTTTATTGTTTAATGCCACACTCAGCAATATTCCAGCTGTGTGACTGTGGCCTGTAAACAATCACGTCTGGACCAGACAATCCAGTGATTGATATTGTGAGCAACGATCCACGTTGTCGGGGTATGTGACACATCATCTTCCAATTCACCGAGCCTGACCAGCTGATCCAGTTGGTCGCCTCTTTCGACCAGCACAGGTTGATGGGATCTATTGTAACATGGAACCCCACGGGTGATATATATATTATTACGATTTTGTTAGGAAAGTAATCACAAAGATCTTTATATTATAACTGAAGAAAATCAACCCAGACATCCCTCTCTCTCAGAAGCTAATACACATGGGTATAAAGTGCAACACGAGTCATCAGAAGATGACAAAATCCCCCCAGGCCCCAACATATTCAAAAGAACAAATCATTTAACTGTTACTTTAAGTTTTTACTTGATGAGAGAATTTCTATCTAATCTGTCTGTCCGTATACAAGAGCTATCAAACAATACCATGGAATTGGGATTCGGAACTTTGTATTTATATGTCAGGTGCACACCGCTATGAACAGAGTCAAAATCAAGCTTGTTGCCATGGAAACAGAAAACATATCAATTTTACAAATCCCTAAACAGGAAATGGCACCAGTTGGCCATAGATTAGAGACAGAGTACATATTAGTTTTAGAGATATGGTCCCGACAAACACTCCACTATGAACAAAGTTAATGTCAAACCTGTTGCCTTGGAAACAGGAAAAAAATAATTTTTAAAATTCCTAAATATGCTTGGGGGATAAAAAATTACTTACATTAGACATACTTGTCACATGATACCTTAAGTCTGGAAGTCTGTCAACAGCATTCAATGGTGACCTTTAAATGTGTTCCTAAAGAATGTGGTGTAGGATATTTACCAGGTTGTTGCAGTGGTTCTGACAAAGATTACTGCTACACACGTCAGGGAAGACAGAGATATCCTTGTCGGATACCTGCATCGCCAACTCGTCATCAGAGCTGAAACAGACAGTTTGTATCACCGTGTGACATTCAATTTATTCTATTTTTAAAAAATCTGATAATTTTACCCTTTTGCATGCACATTGTTTTGTCAGCACCCAAAATTTAAGGTTTTTCAAATTTTGCATTGCGATACTGTTACTATCATGAAAGTGTGTTCCGTGGATAAGCCGACCCCTTTCTACAGAATCTTTTTTCTGGTCCTCAAAATTCAGCTTATCTGCGGACATATACGGTACCATGGTTACCTGGTGTAGAAGTTGTTGGAGGTGGGGTGGATGAGGCCCACGAGACCCAGGAGGTTGAAGATGACATGTTCGTACAGGCGCTTGTTGTGGGCGAAGTGAAGCGAGGACAAATTCGGGGACATGTTGGCCTGGAAACAGGACAATTCAAGTTAACTTTAAAACAATATACCATATTTGATGTAACAAGTGCCCTGGGTGCCTAGAAATTTGGCAAAGGGTGCATATTAGAACTATTCACAATAAGTTAAATCTTAATTTTTTTTAGGATTGAGCAGTTGTGAGCCAACTTGGTTCTAGAAATGTCAGAGGAAATCCTAAAGTGGTGCAAATTGTGGACATTCACTACCAAGGGCCAGCATGACTCCAGGTTATGCATGATGTGCACTTATAATAAAACGCTTACCTCCATCAAGTACACATTTAAGTCTTCATCCAGGACAAAGTCAAATCTCACCATCTCAAAGAAGTTTCTGCAAAAAAATACCTTAGTTATAAATAATGAAAAGAAATTTTTCAACCATATTTGAATGGTTGGCCTGCAAAACACCTATCCTTATGCTAAAAGATTATAGAATTCAAGACAGTGATTAATATTATTGGTAAATATTAGATTGGAGCAGTGTACATATATACGTAAATGCAATTTGGTGTCCCCACCCACGATATTGCTGGAATATTGCTAAAAGCAGCGTACAACCATACTTCCTCACACACAATCAATGTCCTCAGGGCATTGTGACACACTATCAATGTCCTCAGAGCATTGTGACACACTATCAATGTCATGGGAGCATTGTGACAAACTATCAATGTCATGGGGGCACAGTGGCACACTATCAATGTCCTCAGGGCATTGTGACACACTATCAATGTCCTCAGAGCATTGTGACACACTATCAATGTCCTCAGAGCATTGTGACACACTATCAATGTCATGGGAGCATTGTGACAAACTATCAATGTCATGGGGGCACAGTGGCACACTATCAATGTCCTCAGGGCATTGTGACACACTATCAATGTGCTCAGAGCATTGTGACACACTATCAATGTCCTCAGAGCATTGTGACACACTATCAATGTCATGGGGGCACAGTGACACACTATCAATGTCATGGGGGCACAGTGACACACTATCAATGTCATGGGGGCACAGTGACACACTATCAATGTCCTCAGAGCATTGTGACACACTATCAATGTTATGGGGGCACAGTGACACACTATCAATGTCCTCAGGGCATTGTGACACACTATCAATGTCCTCAGAGCATTGTGACACACTATCAATGTCATGGGGGCACAGTGACACACTATCAATGTCCTCAGAGCATTGTGACACACTATCAATGTCATGGGGGCACAGTGACACGCTATCAATGTCCTCAGGGCACAGTGACACACTATCAATGTCCTCAGGGCATTGTGACACACTATCAATGTCATGGGGGCACAGTGACACACTATCAATGTCCTCAGGGCATTGTGACACACTATCAATGTCCTCAGAGCATTGTGACACACTATCAATGTCATGGGGGCACAGTGACACACTATCAATGTCCTCAAGGCATTGTGACTCACTATCAATGTCCTCAGGGCATTGTGACACACTATCAATTTCATGGGGGCACAATGACACACTATCAATGTCCTCAGGGCATTGTGACACACTATCAATGTCCTCAGAGCATTGTGACACACTATCAATGTCATGGGGGCACAGTGACACACTATCAATGTCATGGGGGCATTGTGACACACTATCAATGTCATGGGGGCATTGTGACACACTATCAATGTCCTCAGAGCATTGTGACACACTATCAATGTCATGGGGGCACAGTGACACACTATCAATGTCCTCAGGGCATTGTGACTCACTATCAATGTCCTCAGTGTGATCAACATTACCATATTTTCTTGAGCATAGTGTGCACCCATGTATAATGTGCACCCCCCCCCCCCCCCCCCTAGCGGATTCAGTATTTTGGAAAAAAATGTTCGAATGTCAAGCGCAGAAAAAAATTACACCGTAGATATAGCCCTTCAGGGATTTCCGGTAAACGATGAGTGATGGGTGATGAGAAACTTGGTCAGTACAAATTTGAAATTTGAGATAAAAAATCACCAGACATGTTTATTTACCGTTTAAATTGTATTTTTTGTTCTGAAAGGCATTGTTTTACATCCAAGGATTAAGATTACCTTGTGTATTTTCTCGTAAACTAAGCCGGAAACAGCAATCAGCTGTACATACGTTTTCTTGGAATCTACCGGTGATTTGGTCAAGACACACCCAAGATATAACTTTACAGGATTTTAATGCAAGGATCGGCAAAAATTGTATCTGAAACTGTTTTTTATCAGGAATAATATATCCCAATATCTTGTTAATTTAGTTGCAGCTTTTACTAAACATATTTTAAATAATAATAACCCTAAGCGAAGCAGCTGATCGCTATTCCCGGTTATTATTTTTCACATGGAACCAGTCTGACCAGTCACCGTCAAGGCTCCCGCGCAAGTGATCGCGTGATTGCGAGAACTATGTGTAGACATAGAATCGTCAAACTATAACAGATATGACTTTTAACGAGTCAAAGTATGGCATTTATGATATATGTATCCATTCTCTGTCAACTAAAGTTCGTTTGCTGTTAATAACGGTGAGTTGTGCGATCTTCTGATCGCTTCACACACGATTTTGCCGAAATTAATTAAAACAATATTAAAAGGAATTTTGAATAAAATTAATGAAATAAGTTACATACATAAGTCCAGATATACAAAGAACACTTTTTAGAGCCAGACAGTGTAATAACATGATTCATCTGCGTACTTCAGTATGGATTTGTTGACATGGTATTTCCGGTGTTACGTGCTCATGGTAATATCTTTCCATGGGGAAAAAAACATCGAAACTCATTATTTCGTGTATAATGTGCACCCCCTTCTACACAGATGGGTTTTTTTAAAAAAAGGTGCATACTATACTCAAGAAAATACGGTAGGTGAATCTTTCTACAAGCATAGGCTCCAATTCTACCCAGACTCCCAGCAGACAAACCGGGAGGGAAAGAATCGATCATATTGTAACAATGTATTGCAGTCAAGCGGAATACAAACGGAGCAAGAAGTGGTCACCCCACACCTGGTACTCTTGTACTTATTTGTTGCTTCAACAAGCTTGGCTTCTTTTTCCTTATACACAGTCAATATGGCAGATCGAATATCATCCCACACTTTCCTGTAGTTCAGACCTGGAACAACAAACATTATCGATAGTCTAGACAGACATAATAAAATGATAAAAAAAGGAATGATCAAACACCGAGTGTAAATGCTGACATGACAGTTCGATTCGACCTTAGGTGGATGTCAGGACTGACCTTTTTTCTGTAAGTAGGCATTGAAGGTGTTGATGAATGAATAGTTCATGTCCTCATACAGCTTCTTCAGAGATGGCAGCTGAAACAGACACACAGGTAGGATGCTCAGCAATACAGCTAACATACAATGTATTTAGACCACTAGTCCTTACAATGATAACATGTAGCAAAACCCTTAAAAATAGGCAATTTTATACATGTCTTTATGATACCTTATATATGCCGTGTATATGCTTTGACCAGAAGTGTGACATATTGGCTGAACATACTAAAGATGCCAGACTTTAGTTTACCAAGAAAGTGCTACAATATGTTGTGCCTTTATAATGAGTGAGTGAGTGAGTGAGTATGGTTTTACGCCGGCAATAGCACGGCGGGGGACACCAGAAATGGGCTTCACACATTGAACCCATGTCGGGAATTGAACCCAGGTCTTCGGCGTGACGAGCGAACGCTTTAACCACTAGGCTACCCGACCGCCCCTCCTTTATGATGAACATGGTCGTGTCAATTGGGTAACTAAATTTAGGGACTGTCTTCCTAAACTTGGGTTCAGATATATATGGATGTTTCAAATGTATGGAAACCGAAAGGTTTTCCTTAATATGTTTCAACAACGTCTAAAAGACAATTTTCAGCAGATCTGGCATAGCGAACTTCTTGCAAGTTAAAAAATGTCATATTATGCTTATTTTAAAACTTGTGTTAAATGTGAACCTTATTTGTCATTCTTAAATTCGCAAAATATGAAAACAACCCTCACGACATTCAGACTGAGTTGTCAAACTTTGGAAATTGAGAATGGACATCATTTTAAAATTCCAAGATATTTAAGAAAATGGAAACTTTGTTAACTAGACTGTGTTGAAACCGAGTACCACTTCCTGCTTATTTGTCCATCGTATGCCAAGTTACGGCAACTATATCTCAAAGCAAAGTTCTATTGTCATCCTAACGTTCATAAATTTAATATGCTTCTGTCATCACTCGATATATATTATTACAAATCTAGCAAAATATCTATATTATGCAAATGAAGTAAGAAATGCAAAACTGAATGTTTAAAACCTGTCTTTTGTACACAAAGGCCTGTGGCCTATATGTATTGGAAATAAAATGTTGATGATACCTTAAGTATCAGGCAATTTGGCAAGGACTATAGGACTAGTGCCAATTTCTACCGCCTTTGCTCACACCCTCTACAATACTTCAACATAAGGCTATAAGGCTTCATAAAAGATTTATTTGATGTTTCTTGGTCATTTTTTGTTTCAAGCAGCGATAGAAACTAACTGTTTTAGTTGACTAGTCCTTTTAATGATAACACATAGCAAAACCCTTACAAATAGCAAATTTCTACTAGTCCTTATGATACCTTAACTATTGGGCAGATTGGCAAGGACCATATAAATAGTGCCAATGTCTGATGCTGTCAAGTCCTCTCACGAGCATGAGGATGAAAGGAGGACTTATTAAACTTTTTTACGGAGAACAAAAATAATGAAACTTTTCATGTTTCTACAAACTGAAATTGTAAATGACAAGTCAGGTCAGTTTTTGTTTCAATTTTGCTTTTTGTTAGTTAATACCACGCCTGTATGTAATCAAGCTGGACCTGACAATTCAGGAATTGAAATTGTGAACAAAGATCCACGCCTTTGGGTACGACGACATACGGTCACCGAACCTGACCACCCAATCCAGTTGTTGGCCTCTTTTGACTCGCATAGGTTGTGGGATCTATTCCAACCTGGAATTCCCATGGGGCACATAAATAATATAGCGATTATGTTGTGCAAGTAATCACCAAGATCTTTATACAATCATGATAATAACTTTAAACAAAACACTTTTTCTGTAAGATAAAACAGGAGGGCTTTTGTCCTACTGTCTACTAGCCCCTTGAAAGTGTTGCTAGCCCCAGGCCCCTGGCTAGCAGGCTATGATGTGTGTACCTTCCACATGGGTGTGTAGTCATCCTTCACCACATACTTCTCCAGGATGTGATAGTTGAAGGGGTAGTAGTCCTTCACACAGAACCTGCACACAGAGAGACAAAGCAATCAGTCCTTCCATGTACGCTGGGCCACACTTTTATGTCATTGTCTACAATTACCTTTCAATCAAATTAGCTTGGGAAGATAAAAATGACATAAAATACATTCATGTAGCTCAAAATGATCTCATTTGGCAAAAATAAAGATTGACCTAATAGTAATAAAGAAGTTGTTCATCCATATGCACAATGTTTGACATTGTTACAATAAGTCCACACTTTATATAAAACCTAAAAACTTAATTGTAAAAAGAAAACAAATGAAAAGCAGTGGGTTTTTTTCATTCGTCCAACCGGAAATTAGTCACTTTCAATATAAACAAATCATCTTCAATTTAAAATTTATCTTAAAAATTCAAAACTCAACGAATTATGACAGATTGTGACAGATCCCTCCATACCCGGGTTTTTAACACAAAGGGAGGTAACTCTACATTTGATTCTTTCCCTATTCCTCCTGCCCTCACTCTCTTTTTCTTACTTTCTTAACAGTTTGAGGAAATGAAAACAAAAATTGCAATTGGAATTTTTCTTTTTTTTTCTTTTTCAACCTACCCACTGGAATTTGGGGGATAGAATTCTGGCCTAACCTCCATATATGTTTTTATTTCTCTCTGAATTACAGGTTCGCACAGTCATCCAAAGACATTTGATTTCTGATTTAAAGAAAAATCTAATCCACCAAACATGATTTCAATTTTAATTTCTGATAGCGGATTTTGGTTCTGGTGGTACGAATCTGTACCCTGAAATAAAAGATGTTCCCTGTATGGCCCTGTATGGCCCTGTGGTATTAAGGCACTTGGAAAGTATGTATTTAAGCACTTAGATAAAAACATAAGTACAAAATCACCAACACATATGTATAAATAAATTAAGATATAAACCATCAAAACAACATTTATTAATATTTGTTCAATATTATGCAAAAAAGTATGTTATGAGAGTCTATAGAAACACCCATCAAATATATCTGGCCAGGAAATATACGCTAAAAATGATATCTTCTAATGAATCACCTAATTTCAACCAGTTATGTTGTGTAATGGTTAGAGTGCCTGTCTACTGATGTGGACGTTGTGGGTTCAGTTCCCGTCATCTATAATTAAAAAGTTTTAATTCTTGTCTTTGACTTTAAAATATTGGACGTTTGAAACTCTAAGACCAAACTTAATCATGTTAATCTGCAACTCAACTCCTAAGGTCTTAATAGGAAAAATAAAACCTGAAATCCGATCTTACTAGGGAAAAGTAAAACCTCAAATCCGGTCTTACTAGGGAAAAGTAAAACCTCAAATCTGATCTTACTAGGGAAAAGCAAAACCTCAAACCCTGGTTGAGCTCTTACTTGGTAAAATCATGACCTGAGGTTATTACGAAAAAAACAAGTACTGTCCAACACAATGGTCAGTGTCTGTGATAGGTTTATAAGTAGGGTCTCTAACAGGGCAGAATCAGCCATATCAGGAAGTGCTCATAAAAGCTCCTACAAGTCGTTGAGATGGCTGGGACTTACTCACCTGAAGAGAGCATCCCCCTCCACGATGTACAGTCTCAGGGGGTCAATGGAGGTCAGGATAGTATAGACACCGATATCAAACTTCCTGAAACAGAGTAAGACATGTACAGCACCATACAGAACCTCCTGCCTGGTAATTTGCACAATATATAAACACAAGGATAGAATTTCTTTTTCAAGTGTGTGTGTGTGTGTGTGTGTGTGTGTGTGTGTGTGTGAGTGGCTGATTGTACTAGTCCGGACTGATGCCGATTTATAGTGCTAGCTCACTGAGATACCATGCCGCAGTTTAACATGAATACCCCACTCAAACACAGTATACTGACTCCGAGCCGACCAGACCTTGTTTTAGTCCCTTAATGCCGAGCGCCAGACAGGGTAACAACAGGTACCATCTTTTAACATCTTTTGGTATGACGCGGCCGGGGATTGAACCCTGGACCTTCCGCTCTCCGGGCGGACGCTCTACCACTAGACCACGGAGGCAGTCTGAACTCTACTGCAGTGAACAATGCATAAATTAGTTGCATCCATGACTAACATACATGATTAATGTTAATTTTACATGTACATGTACATCACTGTTATGTCTATATATGACATGTTACACACTTGAGGCAGCACATGAACAGATACAAATAAGAAGTCACCTGAAACTGCATTTTAAGTTATCTAAAACATGTCTACTCATTGGTGTAAGTACCGTATTCGATGTAATAAGCGCCCCGCTCTAATAAGCGCCAATGGCGATATTTGCAAATATATTGGCAAGTGAACAATCCAAATTAGCACCCCTTCCGATTGTTCAATGTACACAAGATTTATTTATTCGTGTATAATATGCACTCGTGTGTTATATCCACCCTTAATTATGGGCAATTAAATTCTGGAAAAATATATCTCTCGTATATAAACATTTCAGGCTGTCAGCATAAACCACAAAATTTATGATCTTTCAACTCTGTTTTTTTTTCACCAAAATAATATTCTAATAAGAGCCCCCTATTTCTAATTTTGAGAGTGCCCTGGGTGCTTATTACATCGAATACAGTATACACAATAGACTGGACCCAAAGGAGTAAAAGCATATCAAATGCCTAAAGAAAACTTACAATACCTAGTAAATGATAGCGTATGAGTAACACTCAATGGCTCAAATCCTTATCAATACCTAGTAAATGATAGCGTATGAGTAACACTCAATGGCTCAAATCCTTATCAGGAACAAGTATATTCTGATGAGGATAAAACTTTATCTGGGTAATATTATACACTTATCCCTGTATTAACATGAATAAATACATCATGACAAACTTACAATACATCAAGCACTGCTTCCCACTTATCACAAAAAAATTAAATGAACTCACAACAAAAGCTTTCACACAATCAAGGTGTGACGTCAATGTGACACAAACATGCTGACAGCAGAAGTTTGACTGCTAGGTTTGTAAAAATATAATGGTTAGCTTGATGGGAAATGTACATAATAGAAATGTAAAAAATATAATGCTTGGTACACACATGGAACTCAAAGTAAAATAGACATTGTGTCTTTCTTCATAAGGCCAGACACGAAGAGTTTTATATTTTTCGGTTTATTATTGTTTTTGTTTTGCTCTTTTGTGTGTGGTTTCTTCATTTTGGAAAGGTGGCCCAGGAAATATGTAAAAGAAAGAATACAATTGGTCTGACCTTTGGAACGACCTAGACAGAATTGTGTATATACGGACATAGTTCTGTCCTGTAGGGATGGGATGGGTAACTCGGGTACCCGGGTCGGGTGGGTACTGAGTAGGTCCGGAGTACCCACAGGACTACCCGGACCTGTGGTTAGTCACGTGATATATTGTCTAATGACTAAAGTATTTGGAACTCTATGGTTACACTACAAATCATTAATGTTCGCTTTTCTTTCTGACTGTGCACCCATTCCTTCTGATTTTTCATATGATTGAATAAAGATATAACTTAAGTCAACTTCAGTGTATGAATGACCAGATTGTTTAATACATGTATCGAAATACGTCTTGCCAGGGCTATGCTAAAAAAGTTCCCAATCGGACATTTTCAGACATCTCCTGAGACCTACAGTGGGTACCCGGGTAGGGTTGGGTAACAGGGGGGCAGGTACCCGGGTAGTAAATTTGGACTCGTCCCAGCCCTACTGTCTTGTGATGAAAGATTCTAAAAAATGTATTTGTAGCCTAACACCACAGACAACCAATTACATATATATTCAAAGATTGGTCAATTAGAAGAAATTGTTTAAATGAAATGATCGATGGTAAAATCCCAAGCCAGTTCCAACATTACTTGGCAGTATGATGGAGAAAACTAGTTCCTCACCTTTTGTCAATGAGGAACGGCTTGGCCACATACTCCTGTATAAATGTACCCTCCTGCGTCAAGTCCAGGTCTACAGAACAGAGAGGGGACAATCCAGATACCAAGGCAGATAACACCATGATGCTGAGGCCACAACAACTTAATGATTTGTTCTTCTGTTTCCCGACCCAAAGTGATGATACAAGGAATGTATCATCAAAACAGATGTTAAGATCATATCAACTGATGAAACATGATGACTGCATATTAAAATTTATACTGAAGCAAAACAACATTGTTACTAACCCTTGGCATTTAATAATTGTCAGATAATAATTTTGAACTTCTCTCTTACTGATGGTGATTACACGATTACTTAGCAAGGAAGACGATCGAATTACTAAATATATCAACCTGTTCCTTGTATCTTATCAGAAAAACTTAACCTAAAAGTAATATTTCTCAAAACAAAGAAAAACAGGAGGACTTTATTCAGAATAACAAAAAGTAAATGTGTTGTGTCCTAAACAATGTATGCACCAAGGACAGAAAGCATGAAAACAAAGGACTGTACATTATCAGGGCAGAAACCTTGCTTTTCATTCTACTTATATCTTATGTGTCACATATGCATAATTTTAATTGATAATGGACAAAATATATGTTTTTACCTTCAAGGCATAACAAAAAAATACTTTTTTATTTTAAAATAAGAGAAAATGTTTTTTCTCAATTACGTTTTGGGACAAGATTAATTCAAATGTATCAAACACAAAATCAGTTCTTTACACATAATCACCTAAGTAAACTTTTCTAAGCACACAGACTAATAACAGAAACCAGATAACCAGCTCTAAGGGGTGAAACATCTCCATGATAACCCGGTCTAAGGGGCGAATCATCTCCATGATAACCCGGTCTAAGGGGCGAATCATCTCCATGATAACCCGGTCTAAAGGGTAAAACATCTCTATGATAACCCGGTCTAAGGGGTAAAACATCTCTATGATAACCCGGTCTAAGGGAAGAATCATCTCTATGATAACACGGTCTAAGGGGTGAATCATCTCCATGATAACCTGGTCTAAGGGGTGAATCATCTCCATGATAACCAGGTCTAAGGGGTGAATCATCTCCATGATAACCTAGTCTAAGGGGTGAATCATCTCTATGATAACACGGTCTAAGGGGTGAATCATCTCCTACTACAGACACAACCTGGTCCTACCTTGTATGTCCTTGATCTCGATGCCGCGGTGGTTGTTGCTCTTCTGTACCCACTTGGTGCCCGGATGATCCTTGGCCTGGTGGCAATCAATAGCCAAGATGAAATGAAATGGGGTTTGCACGCTCAGAATTATGGCACTTACATTTATACAACGACATGTGCACCGCACGTGCATATGTGTGTACATATGTGTATCTATGTGCATGCACCTGTGTGTGTGTGGCTGTGTGTACTTGTCCTGAGTGATAGCACACTGAGATACCATGCCACAGTTTAAAATGGATACCCTGCACACATTTTGGAAGTTTTGGGCTACAAAATCCGAAGTCGACACATTTCCAAGTTGTTTACGTATGATTTGTATGGGGAATGTTCAGCTTGAGTGATTTCATCCGACAGCCAGGTAAGTTTCTTCCCAAACAAACACTTTCAGAGACGGTGCCATACAATACAATTCACAGCTGCAGCATTCAACGTGAGACATCAGTCCAAGTATTAGAAACTGGCTCCATTTAGCCATGCAGAACATTTTGCATCAAATCAAATTGAAAGTCAAATGTGGTCAGATGCATCACATTCATAGGCACTGACCAAGAGACCTCTATTAATCTGTAGTCTACATGTGCATGGCAAATGGATGTTGCTCTATTGTAAATAGGTGGTCAGGCTCGCTGACTTGGTTGATGCATGTCATCATATCCCAATTGCGTGGAGCGATGGTCATGATGTCAATCACTGGATTGTCTGGTCCAGACTCAATTATTTACAGATCGCCGTCATATAGCTGGCATGTTGCTGAGTGCAGCGTTAAACAAACAAACAAACGAAAACAATAAAAAGATGTCAACACATGTGACATACTGCTTTGGTATCTCACCGTCTGTCTCTTCACCCAGTGGGTATTATTTGTTTTTATGTCACTTTCATTAGTACTATTCAATCAATATTAAGGCATGGGCCACAGAGAATGGGGTTCATGTCTTGTATCCATGGGGGGAGTCAAATCTGTGTTTTTTGTGTGACGAACCAGCACTGTAACCTCAAGGCTACCCTGCCTCCCTTGGAACACTGAAATAACTGGGAAAATGTTGGCAAGTACTTGCAAAAACAGAATCTGATGTCACCACAAACATTAACTGATGGTTTGATGACTTACATAATCTCGGAACTTGTCCTTGTCGTAGGGCACTTTGAACGCCCGTGGGATGAACTTCATCTTGGTGGAGGCGAGGCTGGCCTTGTTGGTGATGTACCCCGACCCCGGGAAATGATTCACCTGGAGGATGACAGATACACACAGCTACAGAAGAATCCCCATCAGCAGGTTCACAGCTACAACACAGCTACCACACAGCCACATCACATCTACATCACAGCTACAACACAGCCACATCACAGCTACAACACAGCTACATCACAGCCACATCACAGCCACATCACAGCTACAACACAGCTACAACACAGCCACATCACATCTACATCACAGCCACATCACAGCTACATCACAGCCACATCACAGCTACAACACAGCTACAACACAGCCACATCACAGCTACAACACAGCTACCACACAGCCACATCACATCTACATCACAGCTACAACACAGCTACATCACAGCCACATCACATCTACAACACAGCCACATCACAGCCACATCACAGCTACAACACAGCCACATCACACCTATATCACATCTACAACACAGCCACATCACAGCTACAACACAGCTACCACACAGCTACAACACAGCTAAATCACAGCTACAATACAGCCACATCACATCTACAACACAGCCACATCACATCTAAATCACAGCTACAACACAGCCACATCACATCTACAACACAGCCACATCACATCTACAACACAGCTACAACACAGCTACATCACAGCCACATCACAGCTACAACACAGCCACATCACAGCCACATCACAGCTACAACACAGCCACATCACAGCTACAACACAGCCACATCACATCTACAACACATCTACAACACAGCTACAACACAGCCACATCACATCTACAACACAGCTACAACACAGCTAAATCACATCTACAACACAGCCACATCACATCTACAACACAGCTACATCACAGCTACAACACAGCCACATCACATCTACATCACATCTACATCACAGCTACAACACAGCCACATCACAGCTAAATCACAGCTACAATACAGCCACATCACATCTACAACACAGCCACATCACAGCTACAACACAGCTACAACACAGCTACATCACAGCCACATCACAGCTACAACACAGCCACATCACAGCCACATCACAGCTACAACACAGCCACATCACAGCTACAACACAGCCACATCACATCTACAACACATCTACAACACAGCTACAACACAGCCACATCACATCTACAACACAGCTACAACACAGCTAAATCACATCTACAACACAGCCACATCACATCTACAACACAGCTACATCACAGCTACAACACAGCCACATCACATCTACATCACAGCTACAACACAGCCACATCACAGCTAAATCACAGCTACAATACAGCCACATCACATCTACAACACAGCCACATCACAGCTACAACACAGCTACAACACAGCTACATCACAGCCACATCACAGCTACAACACAGCCACATCACAGCCACATCACAGCTACAACACAGCCACATCACAGCTACAACACAGCCACATCACATCTACAACACAGCTACAACACAGCCACATCACATCTACAACACAGCTACAACACAGCTAAATCACAGCTACAACACAGCCACATCACATCTACATCACATCTACATCACAGCTACAACACAGCCACATCACAGCTAAATCACAGCTACAATACAGCCACATCACATCTACAACACAGCCACATCACAGCTACAACACAGCTACAACACAGCTACATCACAGCCACATCACAGCTACAACACAGCTACAACACAGCTACATCACAGCCACATCACAGCTACAACACAGCCACATCACAGCCACATCACAGCTACAACACAGCCACATCACAGCTACAACACAGCCACATCACATCTACAACACAGCTACAACACAGCCACATCACATCTACAACACAGCTACAACACAGCTAAATCACATCTACAACACAGCCACATCACATCTACAACACAGCTACATCACAGCTACAACACAGCCACATCACATCTACATCACAGCTACAACACAGCCACATCACAGCTAAATCACAGCTACAATACAGCCACATCACATCTACAACACAGCCACATCACAGCTACAACACAGCTACAACACAGCTACATCACAGCCACATCACAGCTACAACACAGCCACATCACAGCCACATCACAGCTACAACACAGCCACATCACAGCTACAACACAGCCACATCACATCTACAACACAGCTACAACACAGCCACATCACATCTACAACACAGCTACAACACAGCTAAATCACATCTACAACACAGCCACATCACATCTACAACACAGCTACATCACAGTTACAACACAGCCACATCACATCTACATCACAGCTACAACACAGCCACATCACAGCTAAATCACAGCTACAATACAGCCACATCACAGCTACAACACAGCCACATAACAGCTAGATCACAGCTACATCACATCACCATCACAGCTGGATCACAGCCACAACACGGCCACATCACAGCCACAACACAGCTACATCACATCACCATCACAGCTGGATCACAGCCACAACACGGCCACATCACAGCCACATCACATCACAGCCACATCACAGCTACAACACAGCCACATCACATCTACAACACATCTACAACACAGCTACATCACAGCCACATAACAGCTAGATCACAACCACATCACAGCCACATCACAGCTAGATCACAACCACATCACAGCCACATCACATCTACAACACAGCCACATCACAGCAAAATCACAGCTACAACACAGCCACATCACAGCTATATCACAGCCACATCACAGCCACATCACAGCCACATCACATCTACAACACAGCTACAACACAGCTAAATCACAGCTAAATCACAGCTACAACACAGCCACATCACAGCCACATCACAGCCACATCACAGCTACATCACAGCCACATCACATCTACAACACAGCCACATCACATCTACAACACAGCCACATCACATCTACAACACAGTTACATCACAGCCACATCACAGCTAGATCACAACCACATCACAGCCACATCACAGCTAGATCACAACCACATCACAGCCACATCACAGCCACATCACAGCTACAACACAGCCACATCACAGCTATATCACAGCCACATCACAGCCACATCACATCTACAACACAGCTACAACACAGCTAAATCACAGCTAAATCACAGCTACAACACAGCCACATCACAGCCACATCACAGCCACATCACAGCTACATCACAGCCACATCACATCTACAACACAGCCACATCACATCTACAACACAGCCACATCACATCTACAACACAGTTACATCACAGCCACATCACAGCTAGATCACAACCACATCACAGCCACATCACAGCTAGATCACAACCACATCACAGCCACAACACAGCTTCATCACAGCCACAACACAGCTACATCACAGCTAGATCACAACCACATCACAGCAACATCACAGCCACATCACAGCCACATCACAGCTACATCACAGCTACAACACAGCCACATGACTGCTGGATCACAGCTACAACAATACTACATCACAACTACAACACAGCCACATCACATCTACATCACAGCTACATCAAAGCCACAAGAAAGCTACAACACATCTACATTAAAGCTACATCACAGCTACAACAATGCTGCAACACATCTACATCAAAGCTACAACATGTCTACATCAAAGCTACAACATGTCTACATCAAAGCTACATCACAGCCACAAGAAAGCTACATCACAGCTACAACAATGCTACAAAACATCTCCATCAAAGCTACATCACAGCCACAAGAAAGCTATATCACAGCTACAACAAAGCTACAACATATCTACATCAAAGCTACATCACAGCCACAAGAAAGCTACATCACAGCTACAACAATGCTACAAAACATCTACATCAAAGCTACATCACAGCCACAAGAAAGCTACATCACAGCTACAACAATGCTACAAAACATCTCCATCAAAACTACATCACAGCCACAAGAAAGCTATATCACAGCTGCAACAAAGCTACAACATATCTACATCAAAGCTACATCACAGCCACAAGAAAGATACATCACAGCTACAACAACGCTACAACATATCTACATCAAAGCTACATTACAGCTACATCACAGCCACAAGAAAATTACATCACAGTTACACTAAAGCTACAACACATCTACATCAAAGCTACATCACAGCCACAAGAAAGCTACGTCACAGCTACAACAAAGCTACAACATATCTACATCAAAGCTACATCACAGCCACAAGAAAGCTACGTCACAGCTACAACAAAGCTACAACATATCTACATCAAAGCTACATCACAGCCACAAGAAAGCTACATCACAGCTACAACAAAGCTACAACATATCTACATCAAAGCAACAAGAAAGATACATCACAGCTACAACATTGCTACATCACAGATACAACACAGATACAACAATGCTACATCACCGCTACAACCAAGCTACATCACAGCTTCAATGTGTACAAGTAAACCATTGGCCTATAGTATGACCCAGTAGTTGTTGGAAATAAACATTATCGTGTGTTTTAAGAGAGAGAAAACATTTTCCAAGATAAGTATTTCTTTATTAATTAATTTCACTGTCTAAATGGAAAGAAAGGGGCAAGATTGTTTTAAAATTACTCCTGCCTCACACCCTTGATTTGGATTAAATCTAATAATATATTGATTGTGGCCTTCAGTGTTCCACATGCAATACTTACCCTCTGATGTGGTTTCAGGTTGGACATAGATTTGGCGAATGCAATAAATGGGTAGTCATGTGACCAGAGAATGTCCCAGTCAGACTCCTGACTTCCTGTCACATACCCAACTCTCTCAAACACATTAAATACGTGCTTCAGGTAGCCAGTCTCAATCTGAAACACAGGACATGGTAGATGTAACAGGTGCTGCCGCCCAGGGAAAATATTAACATGATTAATGGCTGACCTATATTTAAGCAGAATGGCCAGGAACCTTGGTGTTTCACAGTTGATTTTCATAACTGTGTTATAAAGTTTAACGTGCCAAATAAGCAATTAAGGGTAATTATTTTTCACTACACTTCAAGAACTTTTAAAAACGCATGAAAACTTAGAGTATCATGATCATAATAATTGTCCCCAGACCACGGGCTGACTTCCCCTCACTCACCATCTTCCCTGACCCAAACCACGGGCTGACTTCCCCTCACTCACCCTCTTCCCTGACCCCAGACCACGGGCTGACTTCCCCTCACTCATCCTCTTCCCTGACCCCAGACCACGGGTTGACTTCCCCTTACTCACCCTCTTCCCTGCCACCCAGACCACGGGCTGACTTCCCCTCACTCACCCTCTTACCTACAACCCAGACCACGGGCTGACTTCCCCTCACTCACCCTCTTACCTACAACCCAGACCACAGGCTGACTTCCCCTCACTCATCCTCTTCCCTGACCCCAGACCACAGGCTGACTTCCCCTCACTCACCCTCTTCCCTGCCACCCAGACCACGGGCCGACTTCCCCTCACTCACCCTCTTCCCTGACCCCAGACCACGGGCTGACTTCCCCTCACTCACCCTCTTCCCTGACCCCAGACCATGGGCTGACTTCCCCTCACTCACCCTCTTCCCTGCCACCCAGACCACGGGCTGACTTCCCCTCACTCACCCTCTTCCCTGACCCCAGACCATGGGCTGACTTCCCCTCACTCACCCTCTTCCCTGCAACCCAGACCATGGGCTGACTTCCCCTCACTCACCCTCTTCCCTGCCACCCAGACCACGGGCTGACTTCCCCTCACTCACCCTCTTCCCTGACCCCAGACCATGGGCTGACTTCCCCTCACTCACCCTCTTCCCTGCCACCCAGACCACGGGCTGACTTCCCGTCACTCACCCTCTTCCCTGACCCCAGACCATGGGCTGACTTCCCCTCACTCACCCTCTTCCCTGCAACCCAGACCATGGGCTGACTTCCCCTCACTCACCCTCTTCCCTGCCACCCAGACCACCGGCTGCTTGTACACGGCCTTCCCGTCGCGCCCCTCTGGGAGGATGAGCCCTGAGTGGAGGATGCTATGATCCTCCTTCATCTTGTGCAGCTCATAGATATTGAGGACGGTGAGGATGATCCCGAGGAAGAGAATGACCCCCACGATGTAGATAAGCTTGCTAGGGGAGCGAATACGATGACGGTGGCCATAGTCGTCCATACCCTGAGACAGAGAATGAGACACTGGAAGAATGAGTAAATTTGGAAACATACAATCCAAAGAATACGATGACACTGAATCAGGTCACACAATGTAACCATCCTATCATCCTATGGTTGTCTCTGGTGACAAACACTGGGTACTGGAGACCTTTTCTGCCCCTGTATTACCAGTCTAAAAGAGCGAGTGAAGGGAGTCATGCATTTGTCCATCTTCCCGAGGCAAGGGAGTTAACTGACTTTAACGTCCAGTTTCCACCCTTGCCGAAATAGGCTGGAATTCCTGGGCTCGATCGTAGCGCCACCAGTGGCTATTACGAATTATGTCCCTTCTATGCCACTCCTATGGACCAATCAGATTCCACCTCTCGTATCACTTGCAAATGCTTCAAACAAAATGGTGGCGCCCGGTCAAGACGACCTGATCGATAGTCAAGATCTTTACTGTGATAAAACGAGTCTTACATCGCAAAGTGCATCAGATCAAATGAGCACTTTGATAAAAAACATGAAAAGATTTAGAAAATATCTGTTGACAATGAGCTAGCGGTGAACATACTTTGCAAACCCTGCATTCGTCCAAAATCTGCATGACAGTTTACGAACCGGATTTCAATTTCTTTGCGCGATTTTGATTTGACTATGCATAGACTCGTAAGTCCAGCCAAAATGTAACTCCATAATACCAGCCTAGTTCGGCAAGGGTGGAAACTGGACTTTTATAGTCAGTTAACTCACTTGCCTCGGGAAGATGGCATTTGTCAGATATTATACATGGCCAGATACATGTATATGACAAGGCCAACAAATCATGGCAATCTGGGTAGTTGTTTGTTAGTCAAATGATGCTTTATGTTGCGTTCACTACGGGCACACACTCTATCCACTAGGCCAGGGGGGGTCAGATAGTCAATCGAGTAAGCTTTGATTGTGATAGCTGTACTCAATTACTTCCAGCAGTATTTTGGGCCCTGTTAAGATTCCGGGTTTGAATTGGTCTTCAGCAACCCATGCTAAAAGAGGCGACTAACAGGATCGGGTGGTCAGGCTAGCTGACTTGGTTGATGCATGTCATCGTATCCCAATTGCTTAGAAACATACTGATGATGTCAATCACTGGATTATTGGGTCCAGATTCAATTATTTACAGACAGCTGTCATGTAGCTGGAATATTGGTGAGTGAGGCATTATAAAACAAACAAAAGCTCCACATAATTGAGTCTGGTCAAGACAATCCAGTGATAGACATCATGAGCATCGATCCATGCAATTTTGATACGATGAATGGCATCAACCAAATCCCTGTGCCTAAAGAGCACTCAGAAAACATAGTGAGGAATGGGCTATCAGCTGATAATATGAAGTTTAGAAAGTTTGTTCCTTCTCCTCTATTGAGAATGGCACTCTACTACCAGGTCTTTCTGAACATGATGAAATGTAGTATTCCTGCCAATCTAAGTTCTCACTGCCGCTAAACAAAGATCTGTGGACATCCCATTACGGTCACGTCAGAACGACCTTTCATCTGACCAATCAAAGCGTCGCTTACCAGATAATGAAAGTGACAGTCGGAATGTGTTCTCAAATCTTGCAACCTCGACAGTACGATTGATTCCATCAAAGTTATCGTCAATCTCTCACTTCCGTGGGATAAACATTTGTTTCACAGTACATGGGAATCTCAACCATATATTAGACATTCTGGAATGTTCGTTTGTTCAGTTTTCAAAATTTTAATCGAGAATTGTGTCAACATATTTTTCAGGCGTAGTCTGAAATGGAAGTCGCCAGGTTTAATAGAGTGTCGTAAAGCTCGACCAAGCTGCTTTCTAATTGGCTGATGTCGACTTCTTGTTTGTCATTTCAGTGATCGGTCAAAGTTTGCAAAAGGTTGTTCTGATGTGACCCGTAATGGGATGTCCTCAGATCTTTGTTTAGCGGCAGCGAAAACTTAGATCTGATTTTAATGAGATTGTTTCTTAACCATACTATTTACAATACATTGATAAAGCCATAACCATTGATAAGATCGATTTCTGTCATATCTAGAGGCCTTTTTATGAATTTTCGGTGAGTGAGTGAGTGAGTGAGTGAGTGAGTGAGTGAGTGAGTGAGAGTGAGTGAGAGAAGAATCTGTATTGAGCATGGTGAGTTTGGTTAACGCCTTTTTTCACCTCATTTAATATATATAAAGCTCAAAATGATGCAGGTCTTAGACATTAATCACTTTAGTGAAACTCATGAGCAAGGGATGTTACATCTGTTATCATATGGTTTCTTGGATGCAACTTCAGACAGCCTGAGACGACTAGTCCATCCGTACACCAGGAGTGAGTGAGTGAGTGAGTGAGTGAGTGAGTGAGTGAGTGAGTGAGTGAGTGAGTGAGCATTTGTGAGAGCAAGTGATTTGAGTTTGAACAGTATTTCAGTGACATAGAGAATTCACAAGCTAGTTTGGATTCAGGAAAGCTATTCAACCAAAGAATTCTTTCTGTAAATTATAGTCTAACCATTCAACTGTTTCCTCCTTAATCAGCAACAATAAATATAAAATGCAATTTCATAAGCAGACACATAAATGAGGAGACAAGATACATATATATATATATATATATATACAGACTTTAAATGTAAGCCCCATGCAGTCAGATGTCTACAACAGTACTTAACAATAGTTAGCACAGATATTCATTTAAACTCTGGTCGGACATTTTGTATATATACATGTATTGCCATATTCGACCTAAAAAGCGCCCAGGGCGCTCTCAAAATTAGAAACAGGGGGCTCTTATTAGAATATTATTTTGGTAAAAAAAAAAGAGTTGAAAGATATATTTCATGGTTTATGCTGACAGCCTGAAATGTTTATATACGACAGATATATTTTTCCAGAATTTAATTGCCCATAATTAAAGGTGCATCGGAAGGGGTGCTAATTAGGATTGTATATTATTATCAAATATAACCGTGGGCGCTAATAAGAGCCGGGTGCTTATTACGTTGAATACAGTATTACTACTAGATTGTGACAAGCACAGGATATTCAGAGAGGGTCTACTACATGGGCAACACAAAACATATTTACTACTCAAAAGAAGTTAAAGAACATCCAATTCTTTTCTATGCCATGACAGATTCACTATAATAATGTGAAAGAATCAGGTGTTCTTTTAACTTGTTTTCAGAGCTACAGAAGGCAGCGTATTTGCTTAAAATATTCAAAACACAATTACTTTCAATAAACTTGCGTACAGAAACGCATGCATTAAATGAAAAACTCAAATGTATAAAAACGGCTCGCGTGAATACCCAATGAAGCTTTTACAGCATGTGTACAAAGAAGCTAATTTCCAAAACACAGTTACAATATACATCTAAAACATTATTTCGTTGTTTTTTTAATCTTAAAATGATCACTAATTTTGGGAAAAACCCAATAGAGTGATGAATAGATGAGTGAAAAAATATTGGTTAACCAATGAAAAATGTAATAACCCAATTAAAATAGAGACCTGAGAGTAAAAACTCAATTGCTCAAAAAGTTATCTGGAGCTCTGTGTTTTGAGTAGTATACTTTAAACACACATTTCAGAAAGGTGTGCCGAGTTTTAAACTGTTTGGAGCAGTATTTCAGTTATGTCGTGGTCTTAATTTGTGAGGAATGCCCAAAGTGATCTATGTCTCGGACATTTACCACTTTTGTGAAACCCATGACAAAGGGCATGGAGCTGCCAAACAAAAATTCATAAGGGTAGATCTGTGACACCCCACACACCTTAAGTTTTAAAGCATGTGGGAGATGCTTATCACAGTGAATATGGAATTATAAACACGCAATTGGAACTAACTTCCATTTGCCCTAGACTGAAGCTGTCAGTTATTATGCATGGAGAAGATATATCCACAGGGGAATTTGGAAAGGTCATGGAAAAACATGACAAGGTTAGGTGGAGTGAAATTACAGCACTAGTCAAGCACATGGCAGATGCTTGAGGACGTTTGGGGAGGAGGTCATGGCAGGTGTCGTGCCTATGTTCAAGGAGTTATGAATATTTGTTAAAAACTGCATGTATGGGGATTTATATAGGCTTTCTTGGGGGCAAGGCATCAGGTCATAAAAATGTCAGCCAAAATTTCCCAAGTGGAACTAGAAATTTGTTAACTCCAATCATGAAAATCATGAGCCGATAACAAACTTATTAAACTGACCAAGTAAAATAAATAGGTTTAAATTTAAAAATTTAGTATTACACGATTGCATTGGCTGTAATGATTGACCAACACTGAATTTCAGACAATGAGGACAAATAAACAAATCAAAAGGTTTGGACAAAAACAATTTTCCCAAATTTGCCCTTTGCAGCCACCGAGTTTGAACCCTAGATGAATCCCTGGTGCATATTGAGTATTAAACTTCTGGCTGTGAGATGTGCAGGCAGTCAAACACTGTCAGGAGACAGGCACTGTATACTTACAGGAAACTTCATTCTGTGGTACTGACGCTCCATTTGTTCTTAGTCTAGATTCTCAGATTTACTACCTGACAGTGTGAAAAAAAAATTAAAAATTATAATTGACACAAACACCATATTGCCTAATCTTGTGCTTTTGGAGTAGTGGTAGCAAAATCAAACAAAATTAACTATCAAAATATTATTCTAGCCTTTCTCACCTGGAAATACAGCCACAGCTGAACAAGCCTGGATCCAAGCAATAATGGCTGTATTAACGGATAATGACAAGCTACATAATTATGACCCTTGTCTGATATGGATAACAATCTGAAGGAATGAACACAAGAAAACACTTTCATCTAGATAATTGGATACAGACATGCTATGTTGCCATCACGGAGCCCAAGATACAGGGCTGATAGAGCAGAGGTGGAGCAGGCTATATATCCCACCTCAGGCTCTCCAGGTAGTCAATAGTTATGCAAATACATTTCTCTGTACATACATGTTTGAGGTATGTGGGTCAGAGTGAAAGGTGGCATGTTTAATACTTGAATTATGAATATGCTTTTTAATATCATTCGCTTGCTTGATTTTCTTTCGGTGTGTCCACCCAATGTCGTGTCTCTGATATGTAAAATAGAACACTTTAACAAAAACGTTAGAGCATATGCAGCATCATACTTTGTTTTGAGACTATTAGTAGTATTATCTGTGTTTCCTTAATTCAGATTGACTCCTCAATCATAACACTGGACACAACTCAAACAACTTCACTCAGTATATCCATATCTTATCTAACATTAAAGCTTTTGAGGTAGAATGCACGTTCAGTTCAAATGTCAGTTTAACTTGATTAAACCTACAAGTAATCTACATTGAAAGAAATGAAACACAGTATCTTATTTTTCTTATTATAAGTAAGCATGGCTACAGCTGACCAAGTCAAACACAGAACACTGACCAAACATGCCTGTTTTCTATCATAACTTTGTATCCGCGTCTGGGTATGATCAATACAATGTCTACCCTCAGTGGTCCCGCTGGCTTTTGAAACTGCCAGTCCTTGTGGACTGGCAACTCTAAAAATTACCAGTCCCCTCTAATTTTTACCAGTCCCAACTTTCAACAATTAAAAAACATATGAAAATCATTTGGTTTAATTCTTTCAACAACATGTTCAGTGCAAAGATGTCATCTCTGAAGTAACTTAGTTAGCTCTATACATCATTCACACAAACTCAGTCACAATTTTCTCTTTATTTTTTAATATTTTCAGACAGTCACTACAACTGGATATTTAACCTAGAAATAGACAAGGGGAAACCCTGATGGTAACAGACAAGCAGACTTTGTTCGAAAAATGTACTTATATCTGAATATATGAATATCACCGATTTTTTGTTCAACAACAAAGATCTATAAGAACTTTATTTGCCAGTCCTCAGGGACTGGCAGTCACATGAATTACCGGTCCAAGCCTAAATTTACTGGTAAAAAACTGGTAATTACCGGTAAACGGGAACACTGACCCTAAAACTCAAGTTTGTGATAAGGCCATAGAACAGGACCATAAGCTGTACATAAATAACATATTTTTTATTGACCCATGTATACTATGAGGCCTTGAAGGATTATTCAGGAACGGACGCAGCACCAGGCGTACGCAAGTTTCAATGCTACACATACTCAGATTAGTGGGTGTTTTGAGGTTTATTTGACAAGCATGAAAAGAAAGGTAACTCTTCCTCAAACAATGGGACATAAATCTACATTGGCACCTTTGCCTTGAGATTTCAGTCATGCCCTCAAATTACAAAGTATGTTGTTATTATACTCAAATCACATAACACCTTGTAATCACCAAGCTCCTCACAGCGATAGCCCATTCGCGGAGCTCTCTTTAGATGCTTTCGCTGCCACAGATACTTTCGCTGCCACCAGTCAAAACTCCCCACTGTGATAGGTGGCCACAACCATGCTTGGAGTTGAACTCGCAACTGAATGACCGTTATGTTTACAAACAAGTGACGACTGTCGCGACACCGACTACACTTACCGCTGTTAAATTACTTTCCTTGTTTGTCTGTTATTATGAACGTTACTTTGAGGTTAGAGGGCAAATTTCAAGATTCTTGTATTGGCCGCGCCCACACTGGTGGTAGCGATGTTACCGAGAGTGTAGGAAGGAGCTTGTGTAATCACAAGGCAAGGGAGGTAACCCATGGTACATTTCGAGTGCTAGAAAACTTTTTCTCTTTAAAAGTGCAAAAATGGAAAGTGTTCTACATTTATCTCTAATGTTATTTCTTGCATTAAAACTTCTTGACTACTGCAGCAGTGACCTGATTCACTAGCAAGGTAATGATTTGATTAGCTTATCAGGATCCTCTGATGTCATATCACAATGAATTGTACACTAAATCTGCTGAAAACTAAACTTTGCGGTATATTGTAGATATATCGTCGGATCATAGGTTTTCAGACAGCCATGTTTAACGTGATTACTTGCACTATGACAAGGGGTGTGGCGTCACACAGACATTGTAAATAGTCAGATGATGATCTGTATTTAAGATAAAGTCGTCTTTTATTTATAAGTGATTGAGATGTTTTACACAAATGTTTCTTAAGCGTCCAAAAATCCAATAATTCGGGGATACAAGGTGTTATATGATGATTATGTTCCCAGTCTATGACAAATCATAATGATACAAAGAGCGTGGGTCCTGTCTAGTGGTCGTATGACAAATGCCCAGTAATTTGAATGCAACACGGATATCTATAGTCTGGTGTTGCATCCGGACCTGATAATGTGGGCCAATACAAATATGTTTACCAGTTTACGGTTACAAATACACGTGGTCATAGCAGGCCTATCCTGTTTCTCATGTAGATATTACATTCTCAATGGCCTCTCAAATACTCTTACATCCTTCTCTTACATCCTTCTCTCAAATACTCTTACATCCTTCTCACAAGGATCAACATAAAGTCATTTGCCTCTAGAGATATTTACGAAACAGTATATCATGTTGCAGTCTTGTAGTCAATCCATATAGAATCTAGGCCTACTGAGACTTTTTAACAATACTGATCGAAGCCAACTTCACTTGAAGTTTTTTCCATCACCAGCTAGGCTTGAGCATAAGATATAAGATTACAACGATATTTGACAGATTACAACACTCACGTGTGCGTTTCTCTTCTAATGATTCCGGTGTGTCTCTATGATTTACATTTCACAACCTGGTAAACTCGGATATTGCGGAAGCAGCGTTACCGTTGACACATGCGAAATAAAAACTGCCATGTCACTGTCCTGGTCACCGGTATTTGTGTGAAGTCATTGATTAATGGGCGAGTGTTGGGGGTCGTTACATCAAGCGTGACGATGCGTCGTCACTCATCTCGACAGAAATACCAACCTACCCCTGGTCTGTTCTCGCGGTACTGAGTGCAGATGGCTTATAGTTTCATGTTTTCTATAAATCATGACTTAAAACTGTGACAGCTAAACTTGTGAATCTGAAACTGTCAGTGAACAGCGCGAGTGTTGAGGAATATTAGAGTTACCGCCCTTCTTTCTGGTCGCTGTGAGGTTCGGGTGGGGTTGTATTTAGCGGAGAGCCGTGCGCGATGGGGCCCAACAATAACATAGACTACATTTTGCTTTCAAATGTGTTCAAATGTTGCTGGTCGTGGATATAGTGCGTTTTTAAAGAGATGGGGAAAAACAAATGAGGGTTAACGTCAAAGCATATTCTGCCATGATATTTTAAATTAGACGATTTTATTGCTTAATCAGAGGTATCAAATCACAATAACCACCTCTGATTGAAATATCCGCGGAAGCTAATATTTATAAAACAATTTTTCTTCTACATTGAAAACACAATGTGTTTAGCTCAAAAGTGGACCATGCTACTATATGTCACAATTAACGGTCTACAAAGCTCAACAAAAATTATTATTGCCATCGATCCACGCCTTATGGTACGATACCTCGCCGTAATCAGCCAGGTCACTATTGAGCCTACGTTTTTCGAGTAAATTTCTCATTTAAGAATTATCCATCTAGCTGTACATGGGTGACCGCGTCCGACAGCTTGACTCCTGAGAGTTTCCATACACATAGCAACATGTGGTGTCTTTAGGCAAGCGACTTTGTTCGAAATATGCCTCTGTTCACCCAGCAGTTAATGGGTACCTGGTAGAATGAGATGGTAATAGCTGTTAACATTCCAGCGCCTCACATGCTGCTTGGGTTGTATACTCCCCAGGGTGCTGAGAACGAAAATCGAGAATGATCCACTGACCTGAGTAATAATGTAGCACTTTGAGCATGATTTCGGGTGTGGATTTGACGCATTGTAAATGTGAACATTACCCTTTAACAGTGACCATTAGAGACCCACCTTCCCGAGGCAAGAGAGTTAACTGACTACAAAAGTCCAGTTTCCACCCTTCCCGAACAAGGCTGGAATTCCTGGGCCCGATCGTAGCGCCACCAGTGGATATTACGAATTATTTCCCTTCCACGCCTCTCCTATGGACCAATCAGATTCTACCTCTCGTATCACTTGCATTTGTTTAAAACAAAATGGCGGCGCCCAGTCAGGACGATCTGAGTGAGTGAGTATGGTTTTACGCCGCTTTTAGCAATATTCCAGCAATATCACGGCGGGGGACACCAGAAATGGACTTCACACACTGTACCCATGTAGGGAATCGAACCCGGGTATTCGGCGTAGGACGATCTGATCTAAAATCAGTATCTATATTGTGATAAAACGGGTCTCACATCGCGAAGTGCATCAAATCACCTTCATAAAAAACATGAAAAGATATCTGTTGCCGCTGCACATGCTTTGCAAATCCTGCAATCGACCGAAATCTGCATGACAGTTTTGTGCAAATCCTGCAATCGACCGAAATCTGCATGAAAGTTTTACGAACCGGATTTCGATGTTGTTGCGCGATTTTGATTGGACTATGCATAGAGTCGTTAGTCCAGCCAAAATGTAACTCCATAATGCTAGCCTAGTTCGGCAAGGGTGGAAACTTTTAAAGTCAGTTAACTCTCTTGCCTCGGGAAGATGATTAAAACAATACATCAAGAGAATAAAAAAGACACTGATGATTAGAGACACAGAACAAACAAGGCGAAATATAATCCCACCCTTTCAACATATCCCGCCGATTATTGCCTGTAGGTATCTCTAGTCGTCTCCAGACAATAAGGGAAACAATGCTATTGTGTATGCCGTGGAGGAAGGACAGATCTGCCCAGCTTCATCATGACACCGACATCTCAGATGCTAAAGCTCGTCGATGAATGTATTCCTATCCGGAACCATTACATTTGCCTCTCTTAATGTCATCCCACCGATCAGTCAATTTTAGGCGTTGATGTTTATATACAAAATCCAATAAAATATCCGTAATAGAGAATCCATGTAACGAATCACAGCATGCTTACGTTGAGCAGAAAGAGAAATTCCATGTCTTAAAATTCAGACAGCATGTCCCGGATAGCAGCAAGTCCGAAAGGTTTGGTAAATATGTGTGTCTCGAGCATCTGTTGTTGACAGCGGTAATACATAGATCATTGTCTACCTCGTTCTTATATCACGTGATGAATCAATCATACAGCCGTTCCTGATAGAAGTGTCTAACATGTCTGCTCGGCAATGTCCGGAGGGGATTAACCTGTACAACTTTCACAGATCGTAGATTATTGCCTGTAGGTAATCTGTGTCATTTCCACATGCCCAACGAAACAAAGCACATTGTGTACACGTTGTTCTTGACAACTCTTCGAACCAAAAGGAATGATTTATACGATTCTACTGGAACACACGGACACTCGTTGATCACACGCATATTCAATATTTGGACTTCGGTGTTGGCTGGTGTTTCCATGCATGGATACTTTTGAAAGACAGAAATAAAATCGATCGATGTTTCATTAATATAGATCCAATTTCTACGTGCTTATCCGTTTTAGGGTGTATTCCTAAATTCCACGCATAATGCATATGCACAATGAATTATGTCAATATGTTAGAAAAAACAAGGGCGTTAACATTGATTTCACATTTGAATAATTGATTGTGTACACCATCATATAGAAGCTCGTGATATTTGTATTGATAAAGTCGTGTATGATAGTTGTTTCTATATTATAGTACTTTAAACTACATTCCAATAGCATCCCAATGGTGTTTTTAGAAAATTGCAATAACATCTCAATAGTGTTCTTAATATATTGCAATATCATGTCAATAGCTGTCAATATTGATGGCTCAATAATGTTGTTAATGTATTGCAATGACATCTCAGTTGTGTTATTAATATATTGCAATAGCATCTCAATAGTATTTTTAGAATGTTTCAATAGCATCACAATAGTGTTTTAAATGATATGGCAGTATCATCTCAATATTTGTTTTAATATATTGCAAAAATATATTGCAAAAGCAACCGAATACTGTTATAAACTAATAGCATCTCAATAGTGATTTTAACTATATATGTTGCAATAGCATCTCAATAGTGATTTAATTGTTTTGCCATAACATCTCAAATTCTGAATAGTGTTTTAAACTATAGGGCAATATCATGTCAATAGTGTTTTTAATATATTGCAATATCATCTGAATAATGATTTAAAAGCAAAAGCATCTCAATTGTGTTTTAAACTAAATCGCAATAACATCTCAATCGTGTTTTTAAGTGAATTACAATAACAACTCAATCGTGTTTTTAAGTGAATTACAATAACATCTCAAACGTGATTTTAAGTGAATTACAATAACATCTCAAGCGTGTTTTTAAGTGAATTACAATAACATCTCAATCGTGTTTTCAACTAAACTGCAACAACATCTCAATAGTGTTTTCACGATACTGCAAAAGTAAACATGCCCTCGATTATCATACCTACAAATAGTGGACTTATCTGTACATAGATATTAACCACTATCAAATAATATATTATCTCAATTAAAAATACATGGATGTATTACGACATTAAATACCGAAATGACAATTCCTGAACCTTCTTCTTTTCAAGATGCTCCCACTTGTATCTCTGTGATAACGTTAATACTATTCTATAGAAATAAGAGTAAATCCAAATACAAGTCATCCCTGATTCCGGCAAAACCACACGGCACTAATTCCTAATTGACATGTTATTGACATAGGCAACAGAGTAAGAGCTACGTATATGGACTTACAGAGAGTATGGTTTACAGCTCTTACCTTGTTGAGGAATACGTGACGCTTACATTGAGCTTCGTAAAGTCACTTATTTGCCTCGAATTTCTTTTTTCGTTTCCATGGTAACTAATTAATCAATAACACACGTGTATGTCAGAGAGTTGTTCACACAAGATGTTGGTATCAAAATCAATGGTTCTCGAACATCCGGCTTGATTAAAATAATTATATACAACCAGCAGGATGGGAACCTACAATAAGTCATCGAGAACGATGCCATTTATCTGGCTGGTGATGCTTTGATTCAGCCATACACTTATCAGATCGTGCTTGGGTACAAAGGCTAGATTACAATGACACGCGTCATGGATTTGAATTTATTGTCCTAGTGCAAGAAGAGCAATTTGATTATTTGTTGTTTGTTGTTGTTTTTAATCAAAATCCAATTTCTTTTGATAAAATGAAGAAATCAGATTGGATAGCGTATTTCAAAAACAAAGAGGTATTAGTTTTTCTCCCTGATTATGTTTTATAACCCCAACCCCAACCCCAACCCCAACCCCAACCCCAACCCTCTCTCACCTCATCCCAACCACCCACCAGTTCAACCCCAACTGATATTGTTTCGTGTTCGGCGAGCAGCGTTCGGGTTGATTGACCGGAACCGCGATGACGTAACCTCGAAACGTTTCAGTGTCATTTGAAGGAATGACTGACACTTACGTGACACGTTACTGTCAATGTAAATGAATAATGCGTACACGCACACATTGGATACACACACATCGCCTTGTGTGTACACTGGAGTATATAGGTAACACGTTATTTGCGTTTTACTTCTAACTGCATGCACAGTACAAGGGCGATTACACAAGACGTGGACCATCTTTATTTGTCACGACGTTTCAGGGCTACTTCTCGCCCCTTCATCAGACGAATATCTGAACTGAGACATAGTACTGAACTGGTATAAATGTCTACATACAGACCGACTGTCTTTTGTGTTCAGATACGTGCAGAATTCCAGTCGGTAATGTCTACGACCACCTATACATAACTATCAGTACAATTAGCAGAGGTCTCCTAGCATCCCCGACGCCATGCAACATATAAACGTGTTAACAAAACCATCTACGTTACTTCTAACCATTTTACAGTGACAGCTTGCGAAATTGCTGTATTTTTGCCTGCATCTTTCTCTGTCTGTCTGTCTGTTTGTTTGTTTGTTTGTTTGTTTGTTTGTTTGTTTGTTTGTTGTTTAACGCCGCACCCAGCAATAATCCAGCTATATGATGGTGGTTTGTAAATGACCATCTGGACCAGATAATTTAGTCATTGACATCATGAA